GACAATGTGCAGTCTCTGGGTTCATCCATCACTCTCTGATGCTCACGAAGAAGGACTGGACCCCCAACGAAAATGGATCATAGGTTCTGCATGTCCTAGAAAGGGGGAGAATGTCTTATAGTGAAGATTCAATATTAGTGTCCCTGTCCTCAGCAGGGATGTGCTGGTATTGTTGACAAACTAAAATGAGCTGGACTGCACCTATCCTCTGTTGAATGAAAGCAACCAGTCTGTTAATTATACAAGGTTCTATTATCAACAAGATTAAACCTAGAATTAAAGAGCCAGCCAAAGCTGATAGTAATGACGTAAGCCAGGGAGATGAGGTGAACCAGCTTTCATATCAACTTTGGTTAATTTAATCTTTTTCTTTTACAATTTTTTAATCTTTCTCGAACTTTAGCCATTGAATTTTTAATTGTTCCTGAATGGTCAGTATAATAGCAACATTTTTCTCCTAGGGCTGCACATATTTCTCTTTGCTATTGGAACACTAAATTTATTTCCCTTTTAATTTATAGAGTTAGTTCTGCTAAAGACCTTAAAGACTCTTGAAGTCTGGTAATAGATAATTTTATTTTATTTTTATATTTTGATTTATAGTTGCCCTCAACTGGTTGTATTGATAATGTTGGGAACTAATAGCAGTCCCTCCTGTTCAGCTCCCATCAATCCCATTCTTAACAATACTGTAAGGGTGATGGCAGTAGCGGGCTCGCTTTTATTTTATTTTATTTTTTGAATTATTATAGCTACTTTGTCAGATTTTCACATTGCCTTAAATGACTATATTATATTCTATTTTTAATAAGTTTGCCCTCTGCTGTGAGAAGACCACACCCGTATAGACTACCATAGATATACCAAGTGGCAATCAGGAATCTGTGTAAACATTTACCCTCTTTTCTTTTGCCCATAGGAGAGCCTGTATGAGTGCCCATAGTTTTGCTCACTGCACTGACCACCCAGTGGGGAGGGGTCCTGCTTGGACCACTTCATCTTGAGTCATCTCTGCATAGCCAGCATAGCGTACCCCATTTTTCATGAAGTTGCTCCCATCCTTGAACAGGATGAAATCAGCTTCAGTCAGTGGGTCTATCAGCAGATCTAAATGACTGGAGAACAATTCGTCAGTGACCCTGAGGCAGTTGTGTTCAGGGGGCCAGGTTCCAAGGGCAAAAAGTAGCAGGGTTTAAGGTTTTAACTGAAGCAAAATATATGTAGGGATTCTCACAGATGAGGGCCTGATATTATGTGACTCTATTATTTGAGAGCCATCAATGTCTTGTTATTCAATAGTTCTAAAAGGCATGGGGAAACTGAACAATTTATTTTTTCCTAATGTTATCTGCTCAGCTTCCTTATTAGGGTCACTGCAGTTGTCAGGGCTTATAAACAAAGAGCCATCTCTTCACAGCTGGATCTAAACTCTAAGATAAATATGTCATTAGCTAATTTTATGGACCTACTCCTTGAGTGAGCACCCCTAAAGCAGTATGATTTCTTTCAGTCATGTACAAAGCAAAAGGCTGGGTCACATTTAGGATCCCTGATACAGGGGGCAACAGAGAGAGTTAGTTTTAGCTGTTTAAATGCTGATTCTTGCTCTTTACCCTATAATAATCACTATCTTTCTGGCCCTTTAAAGATTTATACATATAGAGAATCTAGATCCTGTAAAAATCTTTTATCCCAAAAATTCTCTCACCTGCTGTAAGTCCTTTTATCTCCAAGCAGCATAAACTTTATATCTTGCCTTCTGAAGCAACATTAATAGTCTCTCAATACCCTGTTTGTTGTTTTTTTTAGTACATCAGAAAATTATTAACAATCATAATTTCATGTATGAAACTTCATAACCTTTAATCTAATTAGGTATCAAAAGCATTTTTTATAGAACCTTTTAACAATTTTTTCTATAGAAATCCTATTTTGAAAATGAGCACTATAAACATATCAAAATAACATATTTAGAATTTAACTCTTTGTAAACATTCTATAACAACATATTTGGCCATGTTTATTGGGGTATATCTTCTCAGAAAGCCATTAGTGAATAATGACCAGAATACATTTTTCTGAGTATTTGACCTCTTACTATTATCAGAAGTCTATTTAGACCTGAGTTTATACTTATCTTGACAAAATTTAACTTATAAATCAAAGTTATAGAAATTAACAAATTATTAGTATCCTTGCTGTCATTTCAATCAAATGTAATTAGACAAACACTTTTCAGACATTTGTATAGACACAAACTTGTAAGACAATTTGTGAAGCTATAATATGCTCAAATATATTTGGCCAATTGAATTATAAGGCAGTTGGCAGCACCATTGAGCTAAATAAATCTCCAGCCCTAGAACCTCTTTTATTTAACACTAGTTGAAACTTTTGCAGATCAATTAACAGATCTCATAGAATTAGAATCAAAAGGAATGAAAGCTGATACTATAAAAGTAAACCTTTTGTAACAAACTTGAAACCAATAAGCAAACATACATATTTTCCTGTTAAATCATTTCCACATACCTTTTCTACATACTTAAGCCTTCTGGTCTTGTATATCTTTTTTTTTTTATATCTTTCTAACAAGACATACATACAAAATCCTTTCATATTAAAAGTATATCTCTTTTAGCCATAGCTTTCATAATACTTTTCCTCTGCTATCTCACTTACTATAAACCTTCTATAACAAACTTCAGCTTAAAGTGTCCTTTTTTTTTTCTGTTCTCAGATTGTTACATTTTAAATTTGACTGGCTGCCAATAGAACAGTACTAACCTTGATTTCTTCATCAACAAAGTACAGAGAAGAGCAAGTTAACCCTATAATCATAATTCAAGAATTTGTATTGCACAAGAAGTGTTTTAAGCAACCATTTAAATTTAACTCAAATTGAAATAAAGATACATTTATCAAATAGTTAAAATTTATAACTTGATCTTTCTTGTAAAATCTCTTTATGTCGGTAAAACACAATTGAAGTTTCTCTGGTTGTTTTGGATTCTAGACCTTTGCAGGCAGCATCAGGCTGATAACACAGTGTTGGCTTTGGGGCTCTTAAAGCCTGGAGTGTTTTGTTTGTTTGTTTGTTTTTTGTTTTTTTGTTTTTTTTTGGTTTGTTTTTGGCTGTATGCTTTTCAGAGCTTTTCTAGCTGCTTTCAGTCCATCAAAGATTTATTTTCTCATTTTAGTTCTTTCAAATCTGAGTGCAAGCCCTGTTCCATTCTCTCTGAGTTTGACCATGTTTTCCCATTTGCACCCTCTAGCACAATAAAGCTAAACAATTCTGTTTTTTGTCCCCACCTATTTTATACTTCCTTAGCAACTCAAGTGGGATGGGGGATAGCTAGATTTCCTCCAAAGGGGAAGCGCCAGAATTTGCCTGCATCAATGTCACATTTTCTGAGAGGCAAGTTTTCCACGGGAAAAACAGCAGATTTGTCAAGCAATTGTTTTAAGACCAAAACTAAATAGTTCTTATTAGTAGCTGATTACCATGGAGCAGAAGCTTGAGCAGCTCCTAGAGCACAAGGGGGTCCACGTTATCAAAGTCTCAGGTAAGAAAAACAAAGGCTGATAACTTTTCCTTTGTCTAGAGTTGTCCTGTGGGCAAAGTCTGGCTTAGCTGAGACCATGATGACTCACAAAGTTTTTTAAAAAAATATCTTTGGTTGCAGTTTAATCTTATAGTCCCCCATAAAATTGTTATCAAAATTTTGAATTATGCACTTAAGAACAGTTGGTTTAATATTAGCATTCCCCATGACCATTAGATATTCTCTTGTCCAGTGAAGCAAGGCAAACAAAGGGTGGGGTGCCATTCCAGAAAACAGCCTTGCTCATTTACTGGGAGGGCTCTTTAAGTGCAAGCACCCCCTCCCTTTGTTTTGGTGTACAGATTGCTTTTGTAGCTCATTTTATTTACTCTTCTAACCAAGTCTCTTTCATAGACAGTCATACAAGAGGTTAGTATATTCTGTCCCTGAGGCCCCTTCCAAAGACAAACTAGGGAGCAACCCAGGGGATCTCACCATTAAGACTGAGGATTTTATTCATTCACTTTCTTTCTGTTCCACTATTAGTGAGCTGGCCTCCGCGTCCTAGAAAGGGAACCCAGGAAATCCTGGGGGCTCGCCTTTTCCCTTCTGAGGAGGCAGACTGTTGCTTACTCCGGTGGGACTCAGGTTGACACAGGGAGTGAAGCTTTCTATGAGAGAATTTTACCCTATAATCATCCTCTTGCTCAGGGGAAAAAACCAATTTTAAAGTTAGTGAGAAAGCAATCCAGCAGGGTGTTCTTGGAACTGGATCCTCAGAATTCTCCTCCTCTTTGGTAACCAATATTGGCTCCAGCGGCTGTGAGGGCAAAAGAGGTTTTAACTGGTGAAGGGGGGTGTTATTTATTAACTCTTTTTAAACAACAATGTAAGGGAACTGTTCAGGATGGCTCTGAAAAACAATCATTTTAATTTTTCATATGGCCTCCAAATCTAGAGTTTCCCCTAATGGCCAACCCGCACCAAAGCCTGGCCATTCAGAATCACACAAAGTCTGATATTCTCCTCTCTGTATCTCTATTGATAGGTTGTGGGCCCCTGACTTAATTTCCTTAAAATGTTCAATCATCAAAGACAAAGGAGTAACTTATATTTGTCCCATTCTGTCAGCGTCAGTCACCATCTAACACACACAACACAAAGACAAACTAACACAGAAGCAACAATAGGTGAACAACAAAACAAAAAAATCTTATTCTATCTGAGACAGAAAAAGAAAAAAGAAAAAGATAACCTGGGAAGTCAGACTGCACCTGGGATCCAAATGACCCCCTTGGCCTGCAGTCTTGTCGTCCTCCCTTCTCAGAGGGGAGGAACGTCTTCCTTGCCCCCCAGCCAGTTGGGCACTGTTCACAATGCATCCATCACAGTTCCGGTCGGCACTTTTCACTTAAAAGAAATACTGAAAGAACACAAAATCAAAGAATTACTCACATAAAAGAGCCGGCAAGTCTTTTCTGGAGCGAGTTCTGGGGAGTCCTTGGAGATCCCGGACGAGCCCCCAAATGTTGTACCCAGATCTCACTTTCCCCAAGGACCACCAGAAAAACGAGTCCGCTGCAAGTACAAGAGAAGTTTATTTCAGGTTCGAACCTGGACCCTTGTCCATCAGGGAGCAAGAGCCCAGAATTGCAATTACAACAGGGTTATATAGGGTTAAGGTGGCTTGAAATCCTCTCTATTCTATTGGATGTTGCTGGGGGAGGAAACGTTAAGTCTAGGGGAGGGGGAGTTTGGTGAAGGTTATGGAGTTTGGCTCATCTCCTGTGGGTGGTGGTTATCTGCACAGACTGTCCTGTTTTTTTCTCCTTCTTTTCAAGGTTGGAATGGCCTTGCTCACCCACTTGGTTCTGCTGTCATCTCAACTAAGCAAGCTAAACAAATTTCTGCTGTCTGAGCCTGTGTGTGTGTGGGGCAAGTCTGACACTGGATGGCTTTTTAGCTCAAAATGGAGTAACTTTGGCCTTAGTAAAAATGGAGAAACTTTGGCTCCTCAACATGATAATTGGAGAGTAAGTATGAAGGTTAGTGTAAGGATTTTTATGAGGTTGATTTAATGTGTAGGCTTTCAAATACCTGAGCATGTAGTGTGGTTATTATGATTTATGTTTGGGTTAGTCCTAGGCTTAGAAGTTGTGTCAGAATTTAACTGCCTGTGTACAGGAGTGTGAGTTTGAAGGTGAGTGTGAGTTTGAAGGTTAGTGTGAGTGTTAGTCTTAGTATTAGGGTTAGGAATGGTGTAGGAATTCAGGTATCTGGGTTAGGCTTAGAGTCAGGGTTAGCGTTAAGGTTAGTGTTGGTGTAGTGGCTTGACTAATGGTCAACTTATAATGCCAAGCTAAAATGAATCAGTGTAGTCCGCACATGGAGGATGCACCAGAAGATTGTTACCAATAGCTGTAAAAAGAGAACTGGGGAGGAAGATCTGGGCCTGTTGATTTTCTAGGAGAAGCTTGCTGTGCATGGTTTTTCTGATGAGACTTAGACTGTTCTCATCCAAGGAGGAGCTCAGGACCTTACTGTCCCTGGGAATGGCTGCTGCTTTCATCTGGGGAGTTCTGATCTTTACTGTGAGTATCACTTTCTGGCTCCAATGTGGATCCCTCAGCCTGATGGCACAGATTCTTCATCTCACAAGCATAGGATTTTTGGCTTTAATGACTGGCCTTTGGGCCTTACAGGTGCAGATCCTCAGTATAGATAAGCATGAGTCGTTGCCATGGGCTTGAGGCCACTGGCTAGCCTCGAGGAGGATATTGCCTCAGATTCTAAGCCTTTAGCTGGACTTATGTGGGAAACTACTGGGATCTAGGCCCTTGGATGCATGTTTTGGGCTTCTAGTGTGTGGTCAATCTGTTGAACTCCTTTGCATTTGAAGTTTGGGTAATGATCATAAAATAACTTGATAAGTTATGTGCCCTGCATTTAAAGTATTCCTTCGCCAATCCTGCTAACTACCACAGGTTGGGTCAAGTGATAGTCTTGAGATTTAAGTTCCTGTGTATTGGAGAGTGGGTTTGATAGTATCAGCATTAGATTTGGCTTTAGGGTTAGGAATTGTAGGATTTCAAGTACCTCTATACTGGACCCAGGAATAGAATTTAGGGTTAGGGTGAGGGTTAGGATTGGGGTTAGCTATATGGATGGAATTCAAGTACCTGATAAATGGAGAGTGAGTATGTAGGTTAGGGTAACTATGTAGGTTAGTATGTAGGTTAGGTAAAGGTAAGGAATTTTTATGAGGGCTAGGAAAAGTGTTGGATTTCAAGTATCTGAGCATTGCAGTGTGGCTATGATGGGTAATGTTTGGGTTAGAAATAGGGTTAGGGTTAGTTCTAGGGTTAGGATATTATCAGAATTTAATTACCTACATAGAGGAGCGTGGGTTTGAAGGTTAGTGTTAGTGTTAGGATTAGGGTTAGGAATGGTGTAGGAATTCAGGTGCCTGGGTTAGGGTTAGGGTTGGTGTAGTTGATTGACTATTGGTCAACTTGTACCAACCAGCTTACATGAATCAGTATATTCTGTGCATGGAGGATCCACCTGAAGATTGTTATCAATAGACAAACAGAACACGGGACAAGGATCTTGGTCTGTTGTCTTTCCAGCAACACTTGATGTAGATGGTTTTCCTGTTGCAAATTAGGTGGAAAGGGTTAGGGGTTAGGGTAAGGGTTGTTAGGGTTAGGGTTGTTAAGTGTAGAGTTAGGGCTAGAGGGTTAGTGTTAGGGTTAGGGATAGCAGTAGGATACTCAGTGTTAAGGATTAGGGGTTACGGTTAGTGTTATGTTTTATGGTTAGCATCAGGGTTTAGGTTTTAGGCTTACATTTAGGCATTGATTTTTATATTAAGGTTAATTCATGATTGTCCTCATTGTGTAAAATAAGATTGAACTCTTAGCAATTTCTATTTCAGTTTATCTCCTTTTTTTTGGCAAAATGCCTTAAATTTTATACTAAGTTATACTTTGTAAACTTTGCATAGGAAGCTCATTCAATACTCACAGTGTTTCACTTTTTTTTATGAGGAGAAAAGTTCACGGAAGTCGCATGATATCAGCGGTTCTCACAGACGTGCATTAATATTACCAGGAGGCCATGTTAAAGCACAGATTGCAGGTCCTCACCCCAGAGTCCTTGCTTAACAGGTTTCATCTGGAGCTCAAGAATTTGCTTTTAACAAGATCCCAGGTGATGCTGGTGCTGCTTGATTGGGACTCATGAGACACTGGTCTCATTCAGGACACTTCAAGAGTCACTGTCAGAAGCTTTACTTTTGGGCTGGGGATTTAGCTCAGTGGCACCGTGCCTGCCTCACAAGTGCTAAGGGCCTGGTTCTATCCTTAGTACAAAAAAAAAAGTTTTACTTGCTCTGACTACTCATTAATGTTTCTTTCATGGAGTAGCTATTCAGTTAATAATATTAAAGTGTTTCCTTAGCGAAATACTTAATTAGAAGATTGGTGAAGAATTATGATAGAGATCTTACAGTGTTGAGGAGAAAGTCATGAAGCAGTAGATGGCACACTCCTAGGATCTGAACAATCCCTGGTTTGCATAGCTTATCAGCCTTATGCTTTCAAGTCCCTACTCCTTCGTCTCGCAGTGCAAATTGGCAGCAGCCTAATGAGCTAACTATTCACAGATACTTAAGAGCATTTCTACACACATTGTGTATATATATTTATGCACACATTGTGTATATATATTTATGCACACATTTGCATAGGACATGTACACACAAGAGGTGTGGAAAAATGTTTTCACTACTGACTACAAAGAAATCAAATGGAATTAAATATAGTTTAATAGATTAACATTTTAACCTATTAAAATATGATTTTAAAATTTCCCATATATTCATATATTAAAAAGTTATTTTATCATTAATCGTTTTGTAGGTGTTTAGAGATGGTTCTAATAAAAACAAATTGAAGGCCGAAATTCCATTTAGGTCAAAATTTTTTATAATGGAAAAATGACACCACTGAAATTTGTTCCAGCACAAAGGGCACTTTCACCTCTGGGATGCCATCTTACAGAGGACAGAGATTTAGAAGAAGAACTTGAAGCTAAAAGCAAATGAGCACTACAAATTTACCTCAATAAACATATCTGAAACTGCAGCATAAAGCCAACATTTTTCTCTTTCTATAGAATAAATCATTCAAAGTCTACAGGAGAAACTGAATTTGAATGCTCATTTTCAGAAAAACTGAGAGTAAGCTAAATTTGTGGGCTACAAGATGTGGACAAGGACTGCCAATATGGTGGCAATGAGTGCTGAGCATAATGAAGTGGGAAGAGAATATTTTTTATCTGCATACTTAGAAAGAGGCAGCAGAAACTATTTTTCAAAGGTGAGAAGTATGCTCATAGGTCCAAAACCCTTATTTCAGTGAAAGTGAGGGCACATACAGGGTGGTGGCAAAGTTTGGCTTTGGAAAGCCAACAAATGTGCCCAATACGGGATCATACATGTCAGGTCTGACTTAAGTGAGTCCCTCACAAACAAATGGGACAAAGCAAACAGGCTTATCTCAATAAATAACAGTAGCTTCCTAGTAAAGAGAGCAAATGGGCTGAAAATGCAGTATGTACCACCCCCCAAGCCAAGAAGTTCAGTAATTGTGTACACACCTGAGCAGACCATCCTTGGGCATCCAAGTCATAAGCAGTTCACCCCAGATTCTTTAGCCCTTTCAATACCTATAGAAGCCTAATTCCTCTCCCAGTTCATTGCTGATCTCTCTCTACCCTGGTGTCAGTCCATCCACTCAGGGTGAAATCTCTCCCAGGCAGCTGCCACTATCTCTCTCTCAATGTCAGCCCATCCACACACAGATGTACTAAACTTGGATTTTCCCAGGTAGCTGCTAGAATCTCCTAATTTTTAGTCTCTGTTTACTTGAATAAACTTTCATTTGAATAGTCTATTTTTGACGAGAGGATTCTTCATGACAATACAGAGATATCATATTTATAAGGAGTGTTTTTCTTCGTACCAGGTGAAGAAAAAAGAATCTTTATATTTAATAAGCTCTGAAACATATCTATTTTGGCTAGGAAAAGTAAAAGCTAAAGAAACAGAAAATCCTAGCCCATAAGAAAAAAAAAATTATCCTTTTAGGAAGCTCTGAAGGTCCCTCTGACAAAATTCATGCAAGTAATTATTAAAGAAAAACACACCCCCTTCAATGATGAGGTAACAAAAAGGAAGTAACAGAGAACCTACACAAAAATATCAGAAGAAAAATATGATCTGAAAATGAGAAAATATAAATTACAGATAGCTAAAATATATAATAAAGGTTGCTAAGGAGTAAAGGAATATTAGGAAAAGTATTAATTAGGACAAAGTGATAATTTTAAAACACAATGGAACAATCTCTTCTGATAAGCATGAGTAGTGAAGAGATACAAAAGTTCAGAGAACATAATTTAAGAAAACAAGATGTGAACTGTAACCCAGCAAAGATCACAAGCTCAGGGAAAGATCA